GAAGGCCGTCTTCCATGAAGCAAGGCGTAGATCGATCGTCGCCATGGATTTGAAAGGTGGTCAAGTCAGTGCTTGTAAAACCATTGAAAGACTCCAGGTGGGCATTAGAGGTCTTATAGCTGGATGTAGATTACTCAATCCTCTTAAAAATCTTTTAATCAGAGGTTGAGCAAAGATGGAGAGGCCATGTATAGTTCCTCAATAATGCGAAATCGCTGCTGTATAAACCTTTATGGACAAGGGTTTGAGTCCAGACTGATGCAATTCAAAGAGAAACTGAAGAATCTGTGAAACAGAAGCTGAGGGGGCCAGAAAAGAGTGTAAATTGGCAAAGTTAGAGAATCTCTGCCATTTTGCCATGTACGACTTCCTAGTAGATGGTCGTAGCGCAGATTCGAGGATATACTGTAGGTCCGGGTGTAGATTCTGCTGAGCAGGAATAGCTGGAACAGTTTGTGGTGTCGATACCTTTGTATCAGAGGCAATCATTGTATCCTCCATGCAGTCAGTTTCAGCGATAGCAAATCTGGGTGACGGATTGCACCCTCCCTCTGGGTAATGAGATAAGGAAGAAGAGGGAGTTGGAGAAACTCTTCTCTGGAGACGTGAAGGAGAGTTGAGAACCATGGTTGGCGTGGCCACCAGGGAGTGATCAGTATCCCTGTGGCCCCTTCGTGAATGATCTTTGCCAACACTCTCATGATGAGTGGGATCGGAGGGAAAGCATAAAAAGTCATGTTTGTCCAGGGAATCATGAAAGCGTCCCCGAGGGAGTCCTGACCCACTCCCGCTCTGGAACACTATGCCGTGCATGCCCTGTTCCGTTGTGTGGCAAACAGATCGATGTCTGGCTGGCCCCATCGGTGAAATAGCATGTCGTGAACCCAATGGTCTAGCTCCCATTCGTGGGACCGCGACATATGTCTGCTCAAGAGATCGGCGTCTGTATTTTCCGTGCCAGCTAGGTGAACTGCTACAAGAGTGATACCTCTCGGTATGCACCATCCCAAATCTGCATGGCCAGGCGGGCTAGTTTCCGGGATCAGGTTCCCCCTTGTTTGTTTAAATAAAAGACTGTCGCCATGTTGTCCGAGGTCACCTGGACGACCTGGTGCAGAAGCACATCCTTGAATGATTGAAGGGCTTTGAAAACGGCAAGAAGTTCCAGGAAATTGATATGGTTCCTGCAATCCCGCTGACTCCATATCCCTTGGGTACGTAGATCGGAACAGATTGCTCCCCATCCCAGTAGAGACGCATCGGTACTGGGGTCGGAATGGAACGCCTACGGTTAGATTGGCTGGGTCTATCCACCATAACAGGGACTGAAGAACAGAAGCCGGGAGTCGAATCAGTTTGGTAGGGGGGTCCATCTGTGGTCGAAACACCCCGTTGAAGAACAGTTGAAGGGGATGTAGCCTGAGTTTGGCGTGTGGAACCACAGCAATGGAAGCAGACATGTGACCCAACAGACTCTGAATAGACCGGGCGGGAGCAGTTCTTGTTTGTCGAATCCGAGCGATGCAATGAGCAATCGCATGTCGTCTGTCTCGAGGAAGGAAGACTCTTGCCAACTTCGAATCCAGTCGGGCTCCGATAAAGTTGATCACTTGCGTAGGGAGAAGGGAAGATTTCCGTCGATTAATACAGAGTCCAAGATCGTGCAATAGAGCACATGTAAACTCAACAGCAGACAAAAGTCCTGCTTCTGTGTCAGCAACCAGCAACCAATCATCAAGGTACGGGTATATCCGAATTCCATGTAATCGAAGGTGTGCACAGACAGGGGCCATACACTTCGTAAAAACTCTTGGTGCAGTGGCCAATCCAAACGGTAGCACATTGAATTCGTAGATTTCAGATTCCACGGCAAAATGAAGGAAACGCCTATAACTTGGATGTATTGAAATATGAAAACAGGCATCCTTCAGATCCAATGAGGCGAACCAATCCCATCTTCCCAGCAATGGAAGAATACTTTGCGGTGTAGTCATCCGAAACTTCTTTGGTGTTATAAATCTATTGAGAGCTCTCAAGTCCAATATTGGTCTTAGACCCCCATCTCATTTCAGAACTGTAAAGTATCTGGAATAGAATCCATGGAATCCTTCCGATAACGACAGGTGACGAATAGCTCCTTTAGCAAGGAGTTGGTGAATCTTGTCTAACAGTACCAAAGAAGTCGGAGTATATCGAATAGGATTCGGTGATGGTACAACATCGAATTCGATTCCATATCCGTGCTGGATGATAGATAACACCCATCCATCAGATGTGATGGACTCCCAAATGGAGAGTCGACTCTTCAGTCGATCCCCAAATGAGAGGGGGGAGGGGGGGTTGGAATGAGAGGAGAGGTTCGCTCGTCACATCAGCGCTGTC